AAAAAAAAAAAATTGAGTTTTACTTATTTTCGTAATATTTATGTGTATCATCGAAAATCAATGTGCTCCAGAATGATGGATGTTCTAAAGGCTCAATAATCATCATAAGTTGGTTCTTTAAGTGTTAATTCAGTTCATGCTGGCGTTGAAAAATCAGAGGTCTGCTAAATTTATGTATTTTTCTTTATCGCGCTTATATAGTGCTTACCATAACTATACGAACACCCATATATTGACAAGTTTTTTCGATATTTTTTTTGGATTTTTTTATTTTATAAAAACATAGTTCATTCTATAATGACAGCCATACAAATCCAAGTCTCAAACTAGGCATAAAAACTAAAAAAAAAATCTATAAAACGTCACACTTTTTATTCAGAATTTTTGGATATGCAGTTTTATATCCCGTCCAATGCAAGTTTTAAGTGTCTAAAAAGTACCGTTGATTTTTCGCAATTTTTTTGTTATCGAAATGAAAAAAATTAGTGACACCCTCAACAAAAAAAAAATAAAATAAAATAAAAAATCGGTATTTTGTAGCCATTTCAAGCTTGCACTTTATAGCACAAAAATGGAATGGCATTTAAAACTATATACCGACTGAATAAAAAAAGGGGATATTTTGACGAAACTTTGTTAAGTTTTTTTATTTTTATACAAAGTGTGGTTTTTTACTATATTTTTATAAAAAAAGTTTAAAATTGGATAATGAAACCAATAAATAAATAAAATACTAAAATAATAATAAACAATAAGTAGTCAAAACTTGTCAATATATGGGTGTCGTATAGTTATGACAAGCACTGTATGTAGTTGAGGTGTTATTGAATAACATTTTTTTATTAACCGACTTAAAAATATGAAGAAAATTATCAATTCATCGGAATATTTTTTTTTATTTATGTTGCCACGGGAACCGTTTTCGATAATTCATTTTTTTTATCGGAAATGTGGTAGCTTAAGGGTGGTGGTCTCATACTAATTCGGTTTAGCTGCAATCACTGCAGTATTAAAGTCGGTTGTGTTTTTTGCCTGAAAATTACTTGTTTTTTTATTTGCTTATCTTTATTCATATTCTTAATTTTGTTTCGGTCTAAATCAGATGAGTATATATAAACTCTTTTATCAACAACAATTTTATGAAGCTCCTGGCTGGTTTTTGTTTGTTTTAAAGTAAGAAAAATCACCAAAGTCTAAGCGATAGAAGTAATAGCAGATACATATATTCATATATCGGAGATTATGTTTAATTATAAAATTTTTTAATCGATTAATCGCACATCCCTATTAAAATACGATTGTCTTGGACCAGTACATTATCTTTTCAAACGTAAAGTGGAGTAAAACAACCTTCCTCTTCTATCCAAAAATGGCCAAAACAATTACCAAATCCATAAGAGTCATTATAACTAAACTCTTTGCCGGGGGAAAACCATCAGTTTCTAGTCGTCATTTCAGAACGTGTAAGACGTAAAAATTCGAACGTTTTTTCTTTAATTTTGGCCTAATTCTTGCTCTGTTGCAGTTTGAAATTTCCTTTGAGTGCAGGTTTTAAGGGGAACTTTTAAATAATAATAAGAATAAAATGAAATTAATAAATGAAAAGCCGCATAAAAAAGTATTAAAGGAAGTCTATTATCTTTCACTTTCTTCAAGACCGATATTTCTTCGAAATGAGACTTATTTTATGTTTATGTTTATGCATAAAAAGCCCGATTCTTAAAAAAAAATAGCGTACCTATTTAAGTGAAGGGAGGTTTAGTGTAAATAAAATCTTATAAAGAAAAAAAAATTTTTTGGATTTTTATGATTGGTCTCATTTTATCAATAAATTTAACGATTGCATGTTTTTAGTGGTGGTTTACTATTGGAAATGAAAATATGCATGTACATATAAACTAAAGAAGCCGGAAATTTTATGTAGGTACATATGTAGGTAAATGTTTCCAATATCCAAAGGAAGTTGCCAAATTTTTATGTTCAAAACAGTTTTTAATGTTGTTGTGATCCTAAGTAAGCAAAAGTAGTTATGTATGCATAAATACCCAGTAGATAATTGCCAGAGCTAAAAGCCCTTCCAAAATGCATTACCGCGAGTCAAGCGGCGTTCTACTCTGCATTCCTTTCTATTTTCTAGGATGTACATGGAAAAGTTCTTTTAAAGCTGCCTTTGTAATTCATAAAAATCCGACTTTAAAGTTCATATCAAATATCTTGTTCTATTGCAACTTAAAATGCATATTAAAATTCGTTTGTAATGCTAAATTGTAAACTGCGTAAATTGTAAAGAGGAAAAGCTTTGGTAAGCTTTTTACAATGGCTTCACTTAAGAAAGCCTACCTAAATTAACTTGTGTCCAATGTATTTTACTTTCCCCAGCTGCTTAGCCAGTTGCTGTAGATCAAGAAACTTACTTGCTAAACAAAAGGGAAGGGATAAACTCTTCATTAAACACTAAGTACTTACCAACCATATTGGCGCATCTTGGTACACACACACACCACCTGCTAAGCTCCTTTTATGCTTTCACATTGTTCTTTTGACCTTTTACGCATTCGCAGCACGCATTCCAGTTTAAGTTAATGCAACTCCTACACGACAAAGAAAACACACAAAAAAAAAGGAAAAAAGGAAAAAAAACTAAAATCAATTTCCTTTTTATGTTTTCAGCATTTCTAGGATTCGCGTCACTTTTGTGCAGACACAAAGAAATTATCAACCATTTGTATGCANGGAGTCGCGTCACTTTTGTGCAGACACAAAGAAATTATCAACCATTTGTATGCATTTGCTTAGTAGTTCTTTGGCATGCCATTCTCACATTCCATTGAAGCGCTGCTACTGCAATATAATGCCCATAAAATGTCCACTTTAATGGCACACTTCCACCAAAACTGATTTGTTTTATTGATTCTGATATTCCACCTCTCTCTCTTCCTGCCTTTTTATCATTACCTTTCTTTTGTTTGTTTTTATTATATAGTGAATTCGATGTGCCCAGCCTACACTTTCCCGGACAGGTGCACAAGTGGCGATTGTCGCAGCTGCTGCAGAAGGGCACATTGCGCGCGCATGACTCCTTTCTTAGCGATTTGGCGTTGGCTGCACGTTTTATTGTTGTAACGGCGCGCGCGCGCATTTTCGGGCACTTCTTTTCCGTGGTTCATGCTGCGCAAGCGCTACTGGATGGCGTCATCAAGCTGATCGACATGTTTATCGGTGCGTGGCACGCTTTTGTCAAACCCAACTGACGAAAGTTAATATGAACACTTTTTTTTATTTTTATTACTTTACCGTTATTTAACAGGCGTGCCAGCTTTACTCGCCCATAACTTAGATTATAAAATCAAAGAGGAACGTTGTCGTTTTCTAATTGCCGAGCTGGTTTGTCGCGTAAGTATTTGAGTATTTAAATATTTTCTATTTTTCTAAATGAATATCTTCTGTGTTTACACTTCAGCCCGAGTTTGAGGATTGCCTGGACGGGCTTTGTTCGTACGTGCGCAAAATGCTGCGACGCGCCACAATGGAGAAATTCGATTTCAATAGCTGTGAGGTGACACAACCAGTGCCATATCTCTTTCTTACGCCCAAGGGACAAGAGATTGATTTGCGTCTATTCTGCCGTGATATTATGCGCAAAGCGCTGCCCGTGCTCATCGGCATATTGGAGCGGGAGACGCGCGGCTGGTTCCTGCACTTTCGTGAGCGGCTCATTGCAGAGCTGCGCGCAAAGAAGCTAAGCGACAAGGAAATCGAGGAGGTAAATAAGCAATAAATGCGCTGCCTGCTGATTATATATAATCTCTAATTCCCTAACATTTTGCAGGAAGTAAACGAGGCTGTAATGAAGGAGTATCTGCAACGTGTCTATTCCTCCATACTATCCAATCCGAAATTGGCGGAGTTGGGCGATGGCATTCCCGAACTGCTAGTACAGCAGGCTCAATCCGTTGTAATTATGTACAAAGCGGTAGACAAAGTGCAGAAGGATATTAAGCGCACGCGTGAAGATCACCAGAAATGTCTTTCCAATGATCATTCGGTTTTGTCGCGTGTTGCGCCTTGGCTGCGCTCGAAATTGCGCGTAGCCGAGGAGAGTAAGCTCAGCAAGTCGGCATGGTCGGCACACGAGGAGGCGCTGAAGATGAGCACTAAGCACAATTTACATCAAACTGCCTACTTTCTTAGTCGCGACTTGGCTTTCATGAAGGAGCGCGAACCAGTCTTACTGAAGGAGCTGAAGAATGCGAAAACGCCGACTCGCAGCTTTCAGTGGGCTTGTCGTATTTGGTCGCCCAGCGCTTGGATTATAAGACGCAACTTTCAGGGTCAATCAGATGTGATACCAACGGTAATCAGCCAGCAGGCCACCTCGATTGTAACGCCACGATCTGATCCCAGTCAGCCAGTGTTCTTGGTAGAAAAAGAGATCATACGCACAACCAGCACCCGCTGGCCGCTGTGGCGTTTGCTGAATTTGCTGCAACGCACCTGGTGTTGGACATGGAATATGATGTTCCTGCTCGGCATACTGGTGCCTTGGTGCAGTCCATTGGGATTGCGTGCGCTATTCTGTGTGAAGCCGTTCATGCCGGATCTGGAGCTGTCGCAGATCAATGGCACGCTCTTTCCGCGCAAGACCAGCATCACACAGACGATGGCCTCACGTTTGATTGAACTCTGGCGACACATATCAAAATCACGTACACACTTCGAAACGGAACCGGATACTGGTGAGTGGTCACCGATTAAACGCTCGCTTGATAAGTATGCAGGCATAAGGGTATTGAAAATAAAAATTTTGCAGGCTTCATCGGCAAAGGCTTGACGCGCAACTTAAATCGGATTTGGAATTATTTCGTTAAGGGCTTTCTCGGCACGCTAATCATACTCTTCGCATTCCCGTTGATTTGTTTGGCAACCAGCTTTCTCAGTATTGCATTGGCGCTGACCGCGCCGCTTTGGATTCCTATATTTACTGTGCTCTTGCACCTCTACATGATACTCATCTACGATCTAGATTGTCCAGATAATACGCGCAATCGTTATTGTATTCTCCTTGAGGCTGTTATTTGGAATATTATAATACAAGGTCTTATACAACCGGTGACTGCCGTTTTGGTCGCCACCTGTCTCTGTCCGCTAGCATCGGGAGTAGTTCTAGTTGGTAAGCTGCTTGTTGCGCCGTTTGTTAAAGCATTCATATATTTGTATGACCTTTTCATCATATCATTTAATTAGTTGGCGTTGTACGCTATTCGCTGCGGCTACTCTGGGATTCCCTAACGTTTCACTTATTCATAAAAAAATGTGGGCGTGTGCCTGCCTCCGATAGTCTTGCTGTCAAGCGCATTGCGGGGCCTGGTCTAGCGCTTGATTACTATTTTATAATTAAACCCGAACAAGCGTTGGCTGCATTTGAGGCGAAAATGGAATTGGATGAGCTGCAGGCATATCAGCACGCTATGGAGCGAATCATACTGCAGCCGCAAAAGGATTTCAGTCAATTTGTAGAAGCTTGTTTTGGTCCATTCTCAGCGCAGTTGGCGAAGACAGGGCCGTATATGGCATTGGATCGTGAGGCGCATGATCTAATGAGCACATTGCATGAAAAATTAGAAAAGCGCAGACGGGAACTGCAAACCTCGCTGACGACACAAGTGAAGACTCGCATAAAATTGAATACCAAGGAACTTAAGGTGAGCAAAATAATTAAATTAGATCGAGTGATGAGTCTTACTTAAAACAAAAAGCAATGGAACTAGCGAAATGTTTAAGATCTCTGCAACACATAAATACCATTACCTTTGTGCGAACTGAAAAATGCGCACATATGTATATTTTTTGATTTCAAAATCGATAACGCTGATTATTGTCGTCTTAATTAAAAAAAAAAAAAACTCTTAGAATGTAAGTGATATATTCAGCAATTTTATTGAGCTTGAGACCTTTTTTAATGAATTTTGTTGTGGAAAAAACGCTCTCAAGCTCAATAAAATTGTTGAATTTCATTGTTATAAGGCCATAAATAACAAAAACATATAAGTGATATATCTATACAATTTTGCTTTATTTTTAGATCGCCATACAACTGGCCGCCCATATTTTAGAGAAATGCTATCCATCGCATGTTATTGCAAGGCTGTCCATTAGCGAGGAGGACTTTTGGGACAACAAAGTACCACATTTAACTGTCTGTATATAGTCGTATACTAAATTCATTTTTTTCTCTGCACAGGGTCTCAGTGTAAACGACTGGCCCGGTCTTGCCGGTCTTATGTATACCGAGATATTTAGCTTAGATTTTCTAACGCCATTGACTGAAAACGATACACATTTTAAACTAGAACCGCATCCCTCGCTCGACTTAACACGTTACACAGAAATGGTACAAAACGCTACCGATGTGATAGGTTCCAAAGGACTGGATTTACTGGGTAACGTGTATGCGCCGCGTGGTAATGTGCAAGTACATTTACCATTCCTCGAAGTGACGGCCTTCAATCCACGTTCAAGGATCACGCTGACTTTTCGAAAGCCAGAGAAGCGGTAAATATAGAATATACGAGTTACAACATACAATTTAACCCATTCATAATTTTGCACACTGCGGCAATAGAGATATGTCTGTTGGCTTGACGACGCCGCGTGTGCGCGCCCACCGCTCGCAACACACGAAAACGCCCGAACCATTGAAGCCTTGGCGCCCTTGGAAAAAGAAATCGGATGAGAAGAGCGTCACGGAAAAACTGCTTATACCTTTGCCTGTGCCGCATCCAGTGCATATTGCAATTGCCATACATAATCGTGACACCGAAAACCCTATACCACTGGACTCAGAGCTCGTATGGGAAATCCTCAAATCGATTGAAGATTGTCAGGGTGGTGATGTGATGGTACGTTTGCCAAGCTTAAATACATTTGTATATGTACATCTGATTTATCTGAACTTATTTTCGTTTGTGCTGCAGGCCGTGCAATCAGTTGCGCGCTATCGTGGCGCTGTGACTGAATCGAGCAATGACTCCCTGGCCACCAGCAGTAGCATTGGCAGCACACGGGATTCCGGTTCCGGTTCGGGCATCGTAGGCAATGGCACCGAAACCTTGCCATGCGTCAATCGCGAGGTTAGTTGAAGGCTGAGTGTGTGCAGTTNTTCCGGTTCGGGCATCGTAGGCAATGGCACCGAAACCTTGCCATGCGTCAATCGCGAGGTTAGTTGAAGGCTGAGTGTGTGCAGTTTTTTTTTTTTTTTAATAAATCATTTGTCTTGCATTAGGTTTGCACGCAGGTGAAGGTGGCGGAGGAGCCAGTACAATCGTCTGGCTTCCATTGGACACTCAGTAACTGGGGTGCAGCGCAAACGGCGCGTCGGCGCACCAACTCAAATGTGCGCGTTGATTTGGCGAGTCCCGAAGATATTTCACTAGACACCGATAGTTCGCGCGCCGTCTTCAATCCCTACGGTACAACAGTTTAGATAGATGGCCAGTGATACGAATACCTATGTATGTGAACAGCTATAAAATGATAATGTCATATTTTAATTTACATATAAATTGAAATTATGTTTTATAAGAAGTGAACAAATTTGGAATTGCTGTTCGACGAAGTGGCAGCATAAAGTTGGTCAAACAACGATTGGTAGCAAAGGCATGTAATGACGTGCATATGCGTATTCTAAAAGCATCAGCACATACATACATACATTCATATACGCAAGCGTATGCAGCTCATATGCATAC